CGGGGCCCAGCCTATCACCCTCACCGGCGACGCCCACTGCCAATCGGAGAATGCGTTTGTCTGCCGCTGGCCAATCAGAGGAGCTGTAAGGCGGGCCGGGCCGTGCTGGGGAGCTGAGGTGAGGGCAGGCTGTCATGGCGGGGGGTTGCAGGGCTGAGGGGAGTTGTCCGGCTCTTTCGGATTTTCATTGGTATTAATTGCTGAGAGAGGAGTAGGAGTAGGGTCCCGAGAGTAAGAATTTAGTCTTTGTTGTTATTTTAGCATTAGGATTTACAGGCCGTTGTGCAAACAGTATTATTTTATTCAGAAATACATAACCAGCGTCCCATGGGCAACAGACTGGCACCTCATTTCGGCCTTTCACTGGCAGCATTTCCCCCCACTGAGGCAGCAATAAAACTGCAATCTAATCCAAAATACTAACATCTCACTAGACCTGAGGAAGTTATTTTCATCTAGACTATTCTGCAGTTTAAACGTCTTTGCTACAGCTCTTCTTGAAATAGGATTTTTTTCAGGGTTTTCCAGAAACCTGTATAAAATAGTTTCCTCACTCAACATTATTTTCATAAAAGGAAATCAAACAATTAATGGGATTTTATGCAGCAGTAAGTCACGTTATTTTGGTGTGTGAAGGGAGAAACCATCTTGACCCCTTTGTAAAGCTCTGTATCTTTGTAGAGCTGCTTCGAACAGAGAATAAATTCCTTGCTGCCAGTATTTTAACATGAGATCCCCAGAAAAATTATTATCTTAACAGAGTTTACCTGCTAGTGAAGGAGAGCTGGCTCCAGAACACTTCTTCATTTAATGGCCCAGAAAGGGAGGAGGCGTTGAAGCTTGTGCAGAATGAATTTGCTGGAGATACTCCTGTTTTGCTCATGTGTATAGTAAAGGGCCCACCTGACAGAAAAAAAAAAAAAAAACCAAAAAAAAAACAACCAGACTGTGACTTTTGTGACAGAATCCCACCACTGCTGTCTTTTTGTAATTATATTTAGATATTATTTGCCTTATTCACAAAGGAAAATAAAAAAATCTTTATTATTTTGTTCCCAGCACTAAATTTTCTTGTGAAGAAAGGGTTTAGGTGTAGAATCATCAGATGGCAGAAAAATCTCCCATTTTTCTTGTGATCTTATGGCAAATTTTAGACTGGAATTATATGCCACTCTCAACTTGAAAATATGAGAGTTGACTTCAGTTTTCTTGATTTAAAAGAAAACAGTTTCCATTGAGTTTCTATGAGACACTCCTATAACTGAAGTTTGGAGACACAGAACATGAAGCCACATTAATTTTTGTGTAATGGCTTCTGCCTAGCATTTAATGATGATAGATGGGAAGATAACATTTCATATAGAATATCAGCGAGGTCTCTGAGAGGGCCTCTTTTTTCCTTTCCCTTTTGATTTTTTTTTTTCTTTTGAAAACCATTTTGTTTCTTTGTCTAAGGTGGTCACATTAAAAAGTCATTCTGCTCTTCCACTGTCTCTCCCCTGCAGTACTTTGTGTTTTCTCAGCCCAGATTTTTTCCCTCGTTTGAGCCTCCCTCTCTTAGCAGATGTGTGGAATATGTACAACTTTGTCTTTCCCCTAATACAGGGAAAGCCTACTATCTGCAGTGTGTCCCTGAAGAGTGGTATGACTAGTGTTATGACAGCACAACAATTTTCTTGTTATAGTTAGTGTAGTAGAGGAGACATGCCTGCAGAGACTTAAAAATACACCATTTAAATACGTGCAGACAATATACATGGTGTGCAGGATGGAGGCAGGAGCTGGCTCACCATTCAGGAGACACTGGCTTTTCAGAACAGATATCCATCCCAGAAGATCTCGGCACCTTCATGCATGAGACTGAACGCCTGATGTAAATCTCTTACCAGGTATGTTCATGCTTCCTCTTTCTTTTTTATTAGTGGCATTTTCATCATCTTCAAATACAAGGCGAACCTATACTGCTTTGTTGGAGTTCATAACAGAAGCCTTTTAAAACTGTATAGACACGAAAGCCACCTCAGTTTTGTGTGGTACTCATTTTCTGTACTCATGCCAGCAGCATGTGGTTCAGAATAGCTCTAGGAGACTATTGTCATGAAGACAATGCTACTATAAAAGCTCTGTTTGTCAAAAAAAAAAAACTTGGTAGTGTGCAAAGAAGAATATATTAAACAGACTGCAGACTTTCCAGATCTCCATCTTATGGTGAACATCCGTCTTCTAACATAATGATGTTTTTCACTCAGATCACTCCCATGACAACTGCAGAATCCTTGAGGGTTTAGCAAAACTGGACAGTCCTTTGTCAATGTAGCTGTAATGCCCACAAATACTTCTGTAACATCAATGTTATTTTCAAGTGCTCTGTGTACAGCTGTATGATAATGATTGTGCAGTGTAGCAGGGACCTGATTAAGCAATGTTTTGCAGAAATGGCCTACATTTGACAGTAGAACTTCAGGTACTTCTGATCTTTTTTTCTTTTTGACTGTAGAAGTATTAGGGACTACCCATTTTTTCATCTATCTGCCATTAGAGCTAATTTGGTGTGAAGTAGAGGTAGAACAGATCAGTCTAGAATTTTTCAACTTCTGCCTACCCAGACAGGGAAAGCAACTGTCTCAGGGTTTTGAACATGAGTATAAGGACAGTAAAGCTTAAAGGAAGTATGATGTATGACAATTTATTTCCATGGCCTAAAAGGGTTTGTTTATATGTCTTTGACCCAACATGGTTCAACCTAGAATGTATTTTCAGCATCGGTGTTTAAAACCCAGGGAAGATCTCCTGACTCACCATGAGGGCTGTGTGAAAGGCACACAGCCGGGTGTGGTGCTAAAAGGTTTTCTTGAGTTGGGACGTTAGTCATGAGCAGAAGTGAATGTTCTTAGGGCTGGTGAGGCCACACTGACTCAGGCAGGTCATCCCAACTAAATGCCAGGAAATGTTGTCTTTCACATCACATTGTCTTTGATGTTCCTTCTTCCACACTAACGGGTACATTCAGAAAGGCAGGCAGCTCTCATACCATCATTCATGCAGAGCTCTGTACCAAAAGTGCCTTGGAAAGAAATAATGCTTGGAATAATTTTTCAGGTCTAAAAATAGTGTATGGCTTATATGCAAATACAGAGGATACCTTTAAAAGTTTGGTTTTTGGATATGTATGTACTTTGGTTAAAACTACACCTCTAATTATTTTCAAAATAAATAAGGCAGAAAAAAACAGGTATTAATTTTATCCTGCTTTGGAGCAGCACTGCCCGTGAAGGTATAAAGTCACTTTGAAATTATTTTGAATTAGCTCTTCTGTTCAGTATTTCTGTCTCAATATCAGTCACTGTATGAATGACAGTACAGATGGACATGATGTATTTCAGGGGATAAAAGGAAGCTAAAAAAGCTCATGCTATTTCCAGAATAATACAATTCAAATAATATACAAGTATTTAACTTTTCTTCATCTGCATTCATGCAAAGCTCTGTACCAGAAGTGTGTACGAAATAGGGAAGAGGTAACAGCTGATACTGTACAACTTGTGTTCTCTGAACTTAAAAATAAACTGAAATTTGATAGGAAAATCTTATTCTAAAGAGGAAAAAATTAGCATCAACTGTATGGAGTTGTTTTCAGTGTGATTACTTGGTGCTTTGTGTTTCAAAAATTATTTCAATAAAACAATTTGATTATTTTTGTTTAGATTGTGTTTGTGTAAACACATGTATACATATGTGTATACATATAGAAATACATACAATCGTGTGTGTGTTATAGACAGGGCTGCTAATTCTGAAGGTGTAAGAGGCACATTTACAGGAAGGTACATTTCCTGAAAGCATGCATTACAGAGGCTGGAACATGTCAGTCTTCTCTCTGTGCGTTTCTAGTGTGCTTGCCACTAATCTGAGTGCTGAGTACAGGACTGATAGTCCTCCTTTTCAAAAATGACTTGTTATTTTGGGTGTACTCTTGAAGAAACCTTTAAAGGTGCCTGACTTTAGAAGTGAACATGCTAAGCACTCTCAGAAAACCAGACCGAGCCTTTCCATCTCTCCCACATTACTCATTCAAAGCCCCTGTTTTCAAAGTCCTATTCAGCTCTGACAAAGTTTGACCTAAATATCAGCCTGAACATGGATCACCTACTTTTTTATTAAAAGACAATAACTAGAGACTTTGTGAATGCTCACTGTGGTTCAGGGAAAAAGAAAAAGCTTTGCTTTCATAATTAAATACCTTCAAACATTGTCTGCCTAAACTCTGAGCTTCCTGCTTTGTTTCAGTTCTGTTTTCCAGAGCGCTTTTGATTGCTGGTCTACTGGTTAGGTTTAGGATAGGTAGACAGATCCATTTTAACATATGTTGTTTTCATTTTTTTATTCACATAAGAGATTTCCATTGATGTCTGCCATTATAAAACTGTGTCTTCCTCCATTTATGAAACATTTTAAATTCAAATAGTAATAGAATTTAATTGTATTAGTAGAATTGACTTTGTATTAGGGCTGAAGAATGGAGAGTAGAATTTTAGAAGATATTTTATCACAAAATTTTGATGGTTACTTTGAATTAAGCCAGACACGGATAGCACTTACTTTAAGAAGTGATTTAATTTACATTTCTGAAGATGTTTTC